GGATGACCTCGCTGGTTGTCCTTCTCCCCTTTCTGTTTCTTGCAGCAGATAGATGACCTTTCCTGGCCCAGTGACCTAGAACCTCAGCCAGATTTCAGCCTCTCGGGATACAAGCAATTAGGCTCCATGTTGGCTCCAAGCAGTCAACACTACCAATGTCACCAGAGAAAACTGCTGATCTCAGTAGTTACTGTCTGTGTCCTGGCCAGCTGGAGAAATGAAGAGGCAAGTCTAACTAGGCTTTTTCTTTAATTTTAATTTTCTTCTTTTATGTTTAATGAGGTAACATTGATTTATAACATTCTACAGATTTCAAATACACTTCATTATTATTCGACTTCTGTTTCCATGACATTATTCACCACGAAAAGTCTAGAGAATGTCCTCCAGAGAGTGTCCTGGTGACCAACCGTCATAGTTGAGTGTCCCAAATATTGGCATGGGCCTCCTTCCTGTGTTTCATTTCAGAGATCTTGTTTACATAGTAGCCGTATCAAGAGAAAAAACAGAGAGATGGACTCAAAATGACTGAACAATGTGTGATTCGGCAATGAATCTCAAAAACTTTCAAGATCCCACTCAGAAAGTGATGTTTTCAGGAATACAATCCATGGTTGGGGTGTAGTGTCATGTAGCGAGAGAAAATCAATTGCATTTAGCAGCACTCAGTGACTTGTAAAAACAACACCTTCCCCAAATGACCCAAATGATGACTGTATAGACCAAATAACGAAGAGAGCCACTGATTTCCACTGATCTTACAGAAGCAGGAGGTCCTTCATGAGCTCAAACAAGCTGGGAAAACGGCTGGGTCTCTAGGGCCACGAAACAAAACAAATCCCACTGTGGGTGCCGTAAGAGGCAAAACAGATTTTATGGCAGTGGCCGCAAGATGGCAGAGAAAATGGCTTGAGGCTTTTGGAGTCGCAAACGAGTTGGCTCAGAAGAACAGGACATCTTAGAAAAACATGTTTGGCAAAATTTTGGACCCCGTGGACACTAAATGTTTAGCCCGGGACCTGCGGTCATTCTGTCTAGAATTAGTTCTGTATTCTCTTGGACCAACAGTCACTTTTATAAAGGAGGTCAGGAAGCTGCACATCAGCACACACACCTGAAATGGAAACGGTGTATTTTTTCAAAAAACCAGAACAACAGAGAAGTTATTTCTCATTTCCAAATTGGAGTTTTTGACCTAACTGAAGAATTGACTGCCATAGATATTAACTACTCATGATGCTCACAAATATGCTGACTTAAAGAGAGTATGATAACTTTGATAAATAGCAATGGAAAACAACTGCTTTTATTGTTAGCACACTGTCCTCCAGGGATGTCAGTGGAAGTAGTGAGCGACATTACAACACCTGAACGCCCAACAGGAAACAGGTCAAAGAAGGAGGAGACAGTCAGTCCAATGTATACAATTACGTGTAACGTACACAACTGTGAGTTGGTTGGTAACAAACCAATGGGAGAAGTCTATGTTTATATTGACTCTCGGGTCCTGTCACATGGGCAGAGTATTGGGAAACAAAACATTGGACTGTACAAAGAAAGTCAGTTTGGACACTGCCTTTAGAAAACGATTAAACAGATATAAAGAAAACACATCTAAAGGTGTTTGTGAGCCATGTTTTAGCCCAGCAAGAATAAGTTTTAGGAGAGATGCATAATGACAAATAGATGCTTTGGTCTTTCAGAGACAAGTCGTCTGACCCACTGGGAATGAGACCTTGTGAGTCATCCGGCTGAGCAGGCTTTACATGACTGGCTGGAAAGCTCAGTGACTGAAGAGAGAACTGAAATATGCTGCACACACCAGTCATGGCGTAATTTGAACGGAAGGTCTTTCACCGTCTTTTGGGGGGAATGAAGCTGGCGCAAAGGGACTACAGATTCTGTTGCAGCCACAGGGCTCCGATCCTTGCATACTGATGGGAGTGGATGCCTACTTCAGAGATGGTACAGGAGGCACTGTCTAAGCAGGAACTTATGATATTTGAGGGCTCTATCTTTGCATACCGTTGGAAAGATTCTGGCAGGACATAAAGCTGGAATAGATTATGGCAGACTAAATGAAATAACACGGGCGCAGACTGCCCCCTAAATCTCGCAACTGGCGTCGCAGCTGGATACAAGGACAAACTGGCAGCCTCACCAACCGAATGGTCACTCCTAAGGAAGTCTTGCTGATGAACACACAAAACCTTTCACATTCGTTAGTCCACAACAGCCCTCCTGCAAACACCTCCCGGCCACAGGACTCAACATGGGTGTTGATTATCTTCTTTGGCCTGATGCTAAAACCTCAATTGATCCGAAAAGATTCTTCCGACCTGGCAAACACACAAGTCCCCAAAACTGTGGTCTCTGCCCGATCTGGCTTGAT